CAGCACCCCTGAGTTTAACAGGAAAGGGGAAAGTTGAGCGAGGTTCTGCTGGGTACCAAGCTCACTTGTCATGTTGTAAAATGTAACTTTCCAGTGAGCACATCACATAATGAAAGTAAATTCGTCTGTTTATTTTAGTTACGGATCATTACAAATATGCTGTGTTTTAAATGTAGCATGTAGTCACACTGTAAGAAGAAATAATCATGTATGGAAATAAAACATTTAGATGCACCAATAAGTGGTACCTAGAGCTTCCCACCTGTACTTTACATGTGTCATCAGTTTTCTTGGGCCATTTTGCAGTATTGTTTACTTATTAAACCATTTGTCTGTCACGACTACGTGGACTCCTCAGGTGGACAGCAGAGACTGGGCTCTGAACGGGAACACAATCTCATTGGACGAGGATACGGTGATTGATGTCCCTCAGCCGTTTGACCAGACAGAGAGATACTGTGCTTCTCTGGGTCACAAGGCAAACCACTCCTTCACCCCCAACTGCAAATATGACCCGTGAGTACAAACTGACAGGAGCAGAGGGCAAGGAGGGGAAGAGAGTCATACATTTTTGAAATAAAGTTCATGCTTGAGCTTGAAAAACAATCTCAGCATGAGGTTAATGTAGTAGCTTTTACTTCGATCACAAACTTCCTTAGATGATGTTGTCATGCAATTTTAGTGCTGAGTAATTAACCTAACTTAGCTAAATCTAACTGAACTATATTTAAATGACATGGTAAGCAAACCAAACTAAGTGACCTACAGTAATTAAGCTAAGATGTAAATGGAACTCAGCTCCTGATTAAAATGAATAGGCTAAATGTGTACAAAAACCTTTGTGTGTGTTTAGAACGGTTAACGTTACCAAAAGGTGCACCAAGGTCAATGCAAATGGTCAGATTTAACTTACTGGTCCAGTAAATGTTTTTTTATGTATATGGGGCAAAAAGCACCTTCTCATACCAGGACCTTAATCACCTCTTACATTATGGGGACCCTTTTCTGCACCCCAGCCCTCCAGGGCGGTCTGTGGACAAGTCCAGGAGAGATTTATAGAAACTTAACAGCTGATCTGACCACAAAACATAGAAGGTTAAGCTGTTATGATCATAGACTTTGAGCTGTCATCACAACAATGTACATAGCTAACGATGGCTAGCATTAGCTACACAGCTGTACAATACAGTGTTACCTATACAGCACCAATACAGGGCCACAGCCCAAACGTGTCAAGTGTCAATTTGCATTTAAAACTTAGTAAACAAGATTGTATATAACCCAAGTAATGCCATTTGAGATGATACTTCTATAAACACCTCAGTTTTGGAAAACTGCTTTACCTAAGACTTAGGTTGTGATAATGAACTGCCAGGTCATGTCATATTATCAGTTGGATTGAAGTCACAACTCACTGAGGAAGTCCCAAAACCACCAGCTCATAATTATGTAAATCAGGTAAAGAGTAAAGAATATAGGATATGTGATGTCATGATGCAGTCGAACATTTCCCTACAGTATTTGTTTACCAAATATCTCTAACCTGAAAACACAAACCTGCAACCCATTCTGATGCTGCACATCCACAAAACACATAAATGTGTCCTTGTCAGGGTTATTGTTATGACATCACAAAGGGCTCAAACAGCCAAAATGTGAATATTAGAGGTTGTGGCAGATATTGATCTTTTTGATAGAGCTATAATTTCAGCAGTTTTACTGACAGCTTACTGGAAATCATTCATTTGAATGATTAAAATGGTACCACAATACGGCTATTGTATGATTCCACAGAAAGCCAATGATATGTGGGGTATAGGGGTTTAACATGCCGGCCGTGAACCTCAACATTGCTGGTTTGAGTCAGGCTGAGGACCTTGTTGCATGTCAATCCATTTCTCTCTTTATTTTTTATTCTTTAGTCTTTATTCGGATCCCCATTAGCTTCCACAAAGTGGTCGCTAGTCTTCCAGGGGTCCACACACAAAACAACATTAAAAGTATGTCAATTTAAAATCACAGAAAAACAATGAGACAATAGAATTCAACCCAAAATTAGGACAAAAGAAGGAAACCAAAATTGTCACAAACTCACTGCACCAAGTAAATGAAATAAAATAAAATTCAAATAAAATATCTATTTTTAATCTGTCAAATGCTGGTGAGACCATATTGCAAACTCAGACGCCTCTATAAAGAACAGTTCTCATCATAAAATTTGTTTGTGGACTTGGTGCCACTAGAAGACCAGTGCTCACTTGACGTGTCACATACACATGACAAAAACCACTATATACTAGTTTATCACTAAAGAACTGAGGTGTATTTTTCAAGATGACAGTCACATATTTCTTGCCACCACTCTACTGTTAAATCTCTAATAAAAAAGATACTTTCAAAAGAGAAAATACTGAGTTATTGTCGGGCATCATAATATTTGTTATTAGGAAAACATGGTAACATTGTGGTTGTCTTTCTTATCAGAATATGATTTTTTAATTAATTTATTTATTTATTTTGGTTTGTGCAGGTTTGTCCACCCTCGTTTTGGGCCTATCAAGTGTGTCCGAACCTTGAGGCCTGTGCAGAAAGATGAGGAGCTAACGGTCGCTTACGGTTACAATCACGAGCTATCAGGGAATAATGGCCCCGAGGCACCTGATTGGTACATGCAGGAGCTGAAGGAGTTCCAGCAGAGCCAGGCAGCTTCCACTGGCCTCTGAACATGCAGATGAATTCCTCTGGACAATTAAACACCCCTCTACCACCTTACAAGACTCCGCAGCCTCATGGCACCAATATCCCCTGCAGCTGCACACCACACCGTAGATATTTGAGAAGTTACCATGCTTCATATGGTATTCAAATGGAATACTGCTTGAGCAATTCAGTATGAATGGAGGCCTAAGCAACAAAAGAACTATGCAAGAAACCAAATGTTAGTCAAGGAGACATGTCTCTGGCTGGAGGTGCTGTCCTGTCTGAGTTTACCACTGTCCTCTCCATTACATGTTACATGAAATCAACATTTACATGCTCATAGTTGGTGCTGTTCAATTTAGGATATAATGAAGAACTATTACCATTTTTCTCACTTTTCACTGTCTATATCTTCAGTGAACTGTATGTCAGTTGGTTTACAGTGGCTGCAGTTTACTTAACAGGGCTCCCCTCAAGGTGTTGAGTTTAACAGCACTCTTTTACAGCACAGTATTTTTCACATTTGTTTAGCTCACACCTCATTTTAAGTAATTCAGCTTGCCTGCTTCGTGTATTTTAAAAATGTAACTTTGTAGACCTTTTCTGTTGGCATACAGTATCTACAGTCTATATAACAGTGACTAATTTATTCAGAATATCTGACATTGGTAAAGTACTGTATTTCCTGAGCATTGGTGATTTGTTACTAAAGGACTCTACCACCACAGTAATGACCTACAGAGAGCTTGTTCCACTTTTCTAACCTAATTATCTGTGTTCATACGCTACTAAATAAAGCCCAACATAAAGAAAATCAATTCACATGCCTCATTTGTCAATATTGCAATTAGTTTATGTGTATTTTTTGTATTTATTTTATAAAGATAGTGTAGTATTTAGGGATGTAATGACACATCAACCTAAAGTGATATATCAATTCAATGACCAACAATCCAATACTATCAATGCAAAGTCAAAAATGTCATTTACACGTATCATTGTAAGATACACCTTTATTTTGAAATTCCAATGGCACATCTGTGTCGCCATATCTGTCCAACTACACCTACTTCCCAAACATTCAACAGTCTAGCACCAGGCAGATAATGACAAGGAACAAAGAAAAAGACAATGAGGATATTTACTGATAACAGCTCATTTTGATTGCAGGCCCTTGAATTGAATTGACACAAAATCGTATCTTTGTAGACTGTGTGATATCAGCAAATAATACAGCATTGTGATGAAACTATGATGCCATTAATATAAAAAAAAATAAAACATTGCACTTGCATAGATTGGGTGTTTGTAAAAGACAAAGTGTCCAACTACATTTTTTAGTGATTTTAAAGGGAAGTTCCTAGTTCCTGCAAGTATTTTGAGATTTGAGGATCAAAATGAGAGCTAATAGTGTATGAGAAAAGACATCTTAAAGTAAATTACTGCATTGCTAAATGCTAAGTAGCTTGAATCCAAAGTTAGTAGGCTATAATTTCATATTTCATGAATGCTTTTCATGGCCTACATCTGGTGATACAGAGGTGAACTTCAGTCAGCCAAACTTGAATTTGGCTGACTGAAGGTTTCAAGCTACCATTTATTAGGGCTTGTACTTCACTTATCAGAGCAGGGGTGTACCTTCATTTCTCTTAATATCATGACCCTCCCTGGAGCTACAAATATTTTTCCTTCAGTCTCTCTAAGTGACTGGGATGCATGACCCTCCCTTCACTATAAATAACCATATTTCATAGTTTCTTGCTATGATAAATGGTGTAATTTTAATTTTTTGTTAATGAAAACCCACCTGCAGGTTTTGAGTGTATGTTTAAGAAATACAAAATGCGACCATTTTCAAGTTGAATGTCCCTCCCCTAAGCCAAATGTGAAAATATAAGTCCCTCCACAATGATTAAAAAATAATTGAAGTGCCTCCCCCCTTTTGCACCACCTCCTTCTCTCTCAAAAGTAAGGTGCACTGCACTTCTTTATGTAGTCCCTTAACAGTTCTGGGTTCACGTGCTAATATTACAGGTAAGTATCCTGAAGTAACATGCTAACATCACACAGGCCAATGTAATGTAACCTATTCTACAGGTCATATAGAGCTAGAACAGGTTTAGAAGCAGAAATTGTTTAACTTTTTTGTTTGAGGGCACAAAACAATCCGTTGCCTAACGCAGGAGGAGGGGGCGGGGCCTGACAGCCTGAGAGTCAGCACCCTGGGCAGCAAAGTCCCTGTCAGTCACCACCTGCTGCTGGTCAGCCAGGTTAATGGATAAACTTGAGTGAGAGCAGCCCGCAGACCGGAAGATACACACCACTGGAGAGAGCTGCTGTGAGAAAGGCTTTCTGAAAAGAAAACAATGTTTTAGTTTTCAGAAACATTTGTCTCAGTTGTCACCACCCGGACTAATGTTTCTGACAAAGAAAACCCTCAAAACCACAGTGAGCATTGAGCTAACTTGAAGTTTCACCCACGAGCTGAACTTCACCGTTGGCCGTGGAGAGGGACGCACCGGTATCAGGGGACTTTCTAGCGGGTAAACACCTGGAAATGGACCGATACAGGTACTTCGTTTTCAACCAGAGGAGCGTGCTCGTTCTCGGTGTCCTCCAGGTGGCTTGTGCGGCTCTTTGTGTGGTGTGTGGCTTCATGGACGCTGTTTTCCGCAAGGATACCCCACTGAGTACCACCAGGACCCCGGTGTGGGGAGGACTGGTGAGACACACAAACTCTGCAGTCATAAGTGGTATCATGAGTTAGTGACAGCAGGTTTCACCTTCATGTGTAACAGTAAATCTGTAGAACATGTTTTACAGATGTTTAAGATCTATATTTATCTTTATCTGACAAAGGTTTGTTGATAAAGCAACATTTAATTTCCTGAATACTGAATGGAGTTTGGTGTGAACCTCATGTAGGAGATTATGGGATATACAGGAGCTTAGAACATTTTAGCTCTCATATCAATAACCTGCTGAAGCTGCTGACACTGGCCTTTGTCTGCCTGCTGCTTGTGTGTCAGTTCACTGAGGACATTAGTCTCACTTCCTTTTAGGTCATGGCCTCTCCAGGTGTGCTGGCGCTGTTTGCCTCCCAGAGGAAAAACTCAAGACTGGTAAGTGAGATGGTTTCTTCGACTCTTCTTGTCTCTATATGTGGGCTATTTTTCAAGGCAAGGTGAGTTTCTTTCCCAATGGCCTCTTTATGGTTTATGTTCCTTTGTGATTTGCAAGTTCTTTTTGATTTTTCATATATACATAATAGAACATAGAGCTGGGCGATATGGACAGAAATTCATATCTTGATATTTTCAGGCTGAATGGCGATACAAGATGTATATATTGGTGTTGTTTACGAAAAGGGCCACATGTTCATTTGCAAGTCAAAATCACATATGAGATGTCACAAGCACTTTACTGGAAACAGTTCCCCGTACAGCTGCACAACATGTAATGAAAAATGGTATAAAGTAAATAGCAGGACTGTACGTTAACTTTTTGCACATATCACTGGAACTATAGAGGTTTAAAGGTTTGTAGCACAGGACACAAAACAATAGCATGAGTATAAAAATATCAAGAAGGCTTAAAATGTAGTTTGACAAATTAAAAATCTTTGTGGGGGAAGTTTAAAAAGTCATTTTCCATGGCAAATTTTCAAATTAATCTAGTGCTGGAAAATGATTGAAATATTTTTGTTTATTTAGGTTAATAATCTTATTTATGCACACAGCATCGACAGAGAGGCAGAGGGAGGGAAAGAGCGAGAGACACTTTGTCCTCCTTATATACGTCTTGTATATGATACGTCTGTGTTGTCGCTGCATTTTATTAAACACATCTGTCGCCTGCATCCAGGCGCTGTCTCAGTGTCACACAATAGACTACAGCTACCAAGAAGAAAGGTGATGCGCTGTGATCCATCTCACACACAAACTAACACTCACCTGATAAAATCAGGCAGCTCTGTCTCCCACACATGTAGCACAGCGCTGTACTGCACGTGTGCTGCTGCTGCAGTCATTTCATTCACCTCACAGACTGATGTAGGGTAGGACCTGCAACATATAGACTGATGTCACATTGTAGACTAGTTAACAGACAGATTAAACAGTGTTTTAGTGCTGCTGGAGAACTTACGAGTGAGTGAGTGGGGCGGAGCTGTGCAGAGAGAATGAGAGAGGAGAGATGCACACAGGCATGGCTTTTCTGAAGAACAGCGTTATGTAACGCAACCTGACCTTATATCAGTATAAATGATACTGTCTTAATCTGTATCTTTCTTGAAATAGTCTTTATGCCACCCTTTCAGAACACTGCACCTGTAGTTGTTGTTAAAGACTTGATGACAAAGGATCGATCTTGCAGCCTTGCGGGATATTTTATTGTGGACACAACTTCCAACAATGAGACAGCCCTGTAGAGCAGTTCACCAAACATTTTTATACTCCTCCTCAGACAATCATCATACCTAACTTTCTGTGTGTGTGTGTGTGTGTGTGCGTGTGTGTGTGTGTGTGTGTGTGTGTGTGTGTGTGTGTGAGAGATTTCCTGCCATTTCCCAGAACTTGTTTCACCATCACAATATTCAACAATATTCAGGGGCGTCATAGTAGGGGGGGAAAGTGGGATTGATAACCTAGGGTCGCAGTTGGGAGGGTAGAGGGCTTGAAAAGCATGCAATGATTGTTTTTGCAATTTTTTATTTCCCCTCTCAACACTTAAAGGTGCAAAATGGTTTAGTCCACCCCTGCAGTAGGATTTGTCCCTATAAACAGCTAGAGGCAAGTGAGTGACTACCATACCACTACCAGAGTAGGGTCTAGAGGTGACTGTCTGGTCCCTTTCAGGAAAAGTGTTTTTGGGCAGTTGGGCAGGTCAGTTTTTTCATATCGAGCGTCTCACTCATGGAACACGATACCAAGTGACATACGTGACTTATCAACCCTTACATCTTTCACTAAGCATCTAAAAATGTGGTTATTGGAGAATCAAAGCTGCAATCACAATGAATCGTAAAAGTCATTGGATATGCTGTATTGTCATGTGTACTGAGTGTAAATGATATTTGTATTGTTCTTTGTGTATCTGTTTAGTTGTCAGGGATGTTGCTGGTGACAAGCCAGTCTAGTGACCTTGTATGCTTACATACATTTATTATGTATGCAAATTCTGTGAAATAGTGCATACATAATTTTACCTATGTATGCTAACCTGTGCAATAACACCTGCACACACACATCTGTGTGTGCAGAATATGTGCAATAGGGCAACGTGCAATATACAACAGCACTTCAAAACTTAAGCACTTTAGCAATCTAGCACTTTAACACTTGATAATCCATATTCCTATGGTCACTTTATTCTGGTCTGTTATGAGTGACATGGTTTATTGTCTGTCTTAAAGGGCCAGTGTGTAATATATGGCATGGTTTATTGTCAATCTGAATCTGAATCTGAATATTCTACCCATTAATATGTTTATACAAGTGTATGATCGCTATAAAATAAAATTCGTTTGGTTTTCGTAGCCTTATAATTATGCTTTTATATATATACAGTACAGGCCAAAAGTTTGGACACACCTTCTCATTCAATGCGTTTTCTTTATTTTCATGACTATTTACATTGTAGATTCTCACTGAAGGCATCAAAACTATGAATGAACACATGTGGAGTTATGTACTTAACAAAAAAAGGTGAAATAACTGAAAACATGTTTTATATTCTAGTTTCTTCAAAATAGCCACCCTTTGCTCTGATTACTGCTTTGCACACTCTTGGCATTCTCTCCATGAGCTTCAAGAGGTAGTCACCTGAAATGGTTT